TTAAAACGAAACATCTTCTATTATATTAAGTTAACAAATTTCGAAAAACGACACCGACCCCGTGACCTCGACACCGTCCTTGAAAAATCTGTTTTCAACTATTTTCAAATAAATCAAAATACTTTGCATATATGATGTTAGAAAATCTTACAAACTATTGTTATGTTACATCTTTTTTCAATTTTAACCCGAAAAAGGGTTATTTTGCAATTTTTTAAGAATTTTTTGATTTTTTCAATTTTTTATTATTATTTTTTATTATTTATTGTTGTTTTTTCAATTTTTAGTTAGTAACCTATAATATTGTGTCTAATTTTAAGTGTCATTAAAATCAAATGTTTTTAACTTAATAATTTTAACATTTCTTAATTTAAAACGAAACATCTTCTATTATATTAAGTTAACAAATTTCGAAAAACGACACCGACCCCGTGACCTCGACACCGTCCTTGAAAAATCTATTTTCAATTATTTTCAAATAAATCAAAATACTTTGCATATATACTGTTAGAAAATCTTACAAACTATTTTTATGTAACATCTTTTTTCAATTTTAACCCGAAAAACGGTTAATGTGCAATTTTAACCCGAAAATGGGTTATTTTGCAATTTTTTAAGAATTTTTTTTTGTTTCAATTTTTTATTATTATTTTTTATTATTTATTGTTGTCTTTTCAATTTTTAGTTAGTAACCTATAATATTGTGTCTAATTTTAAGTGTCATTAAAATCAAATGTTTTTAACTTAATAATTTTAACATTTCTTAATTTAAAACGAAACATCTTCTATTATATTAAGTTAACAAATTTCGAAAATCGACCCCTACCCCGTGACCTCGACGCCGTCCTTGAAAAATCTATTTTCAATTATTTTCAAATAATTCAAAATACTTTGCATATATGCTGTTAGAAAATCTTACAAACTGTTTTTATGCAACATCTTTTTTCAATTTTAACCCGAAAAAGGGTTATTTTTCAATTTTAACCCGAAAAAGGGTTATTTTGCAACTTTTAAGAATTTTTTGATTTTTTCAATTTTTTATTATTATTTTTTATTATTTATTTTTGTTTTTTCAATTTTTAGTTAGTAACCTATAATATTGTGTCTAATTTTAAGTGTCATTAAAATCAAATGTTTTCAACTTAATAATTTTAACATTTCTTAATTTAAAACGAAACATCTTCTATTATATTAAGTTAACAAATTTCGAAAAACGACACCGACCCCGTGACCTCGACACCGTCCTTGAAAAATCTATTTTCAATTATTTTCAAATAAGTCAAAATACTTTGCATATATGCTGTTAGAAAATCTTACAAACTATTTTTATGTAACATCTTTTTTCAATTTTAACCCGAAAAAGGGTTATTTTTCAATTTTAACCCGAAAAAGGGTTATTTTGCAATTTTTTAAGAATTTTTTGATTTTTTCAATTTTTTATTATTATTTTTTATTATTTATTGTTGTTTTTTCATTTTTTAGTTAGTAACCTATAATATTGTGTCTAATTTTAAGTGTCATTAAAATCAAATGTTTTTAACTTAATAATTTTAACATTTCTTAATTTAAAACGAAACATCTTCTATTATATTAAGTTAACAAATTTCGAAAAACGACACCGACCCCGTGACCTCGACACCGTCCTTGAAAAATCTATTTTCAATTATTTTCAAATAAGTCAAAATACTTTGCATATATGCTGTTAGAAAATCTTACAAACTATTTTTATGTAACATCTTTTTTCAATTTTAACCCGAAAAAGGGTTATTTTTCAATTTTAACCCGAAAAAGGGTTATTTTGCAATTTTTTAAGAATTTTTTGATTTTTTCAATTTTTTATTATTATTTTTTATTATTTATTGTTGTTTTTTCATTTTTTAGTTAGTAACCTATAATATTGTGTCTAATTTTAAGTGTCATTAAAATCAAATGTTTTTAACTTAATAATTTTAACATTTCTTAATTTAAAACGAAACATCTTCTATTATATTAAGTTAACAAATTTCGAAAATCGACCCCTACCCCGTGACCTCGACGCCGTCCTTGAAAAATCTATTTTCAATTATTTTCAAATAAATCAAAATACTTTGCATATATGCTGTTAGAAAATCTTACAAACTATTTTTATGCAACATCTTTTTTCAATTTTAACCCGAAAAAGGGTTATTTTTCAATTTTAACCCGAAAAAGGGTTATTTTTCAATTTTTTTATGAATTTTTTGATTTTTTCAATTTTTTATTATTATTTTTTATTATTTATTGTTGTTTTTTCAATTTTTAGTTAGTAACCTATAATATTGTGTCTAATTTTAAGTGTCATTAAAATCAAATGTTTTTAACTTAATAATTTTAACATTTCTTAATTTAAAACGAAACATCTTCTATTATATTAAGTTAACAAATTTCGAAAATCGACACCGACCCCGTGACCTCGACGCCGTCCTTGAAAAATCTATTTTCAATTATTTTCAAATACATCAAAATACTTTGCATATGAGAGATTCTTTTTTAATCGCCCCAGCCCAAAAAGTCAATGTTCTGGGATTGGCTTCATACTTTGGTAAATTGTTCTCCTATATGATAGTAATAAATCCCTAAAATATAAACTCATTAAAAAAATATTTGTAGAAAGTGGAGGGGGTTGAAGTTTTGACGTTAAGGGTAACATTGTCATTTTCAAATCCGTATAACTATGACAAAAGTTAATGGATTTTAATTTATCTATAATGAATTTTAATGCATTTTCACGTACTTTTCAAAAATTTATATGAAATTTAAAAAAAAAATTTTTGACCGTTTTTTTTCAAAATCAACCCTTATTTTTCGATTTTCACCCCTTCGGGTATTTTCTTTAAATTTTTTTTAGTTTCATTGGAAAGCTGAGGTTTTTTCCAATGAGCTATGTAAATACGAAAGTGGGACAACAATAATTTTGCGATAAACATAATATTAAATTAGGCGGTGCCTACCTAAATCCTCAAATATGGTCTCCAGGTATACTCCTTATCGACACTGCCTACTTTAATATTCTGTTTCTCACAAAATTATTGTTGTCCCATTTTTATATTTACATATCTCATTGGAAAAAACCTCAGCTTTCCAATGAAACTTAAAAAAATTTTAAAAAAATACCCGAAGGGGTGAAAATCGAAAAATAAGGGTTGATTTTGGAAAAAAAGGGGTCAAAAATTTTTTTTTTTAAATTTCATATACATTTTTGAAAAGTACGTGAAAAATGCATTAAAATTCATTATAGATAAATTAAAATCCATTAACTTTTGTCATAGTTATACGGATTTGAAAATGACAATGTTACCCTTAACGTCAAAACTTCAACCCCCTCCACTTTCTACAAATATTTTTTTAATCCATTCTATGCGATATGATCAGTATAATAATAATTATAATATTTTTTTATGGCGCTGCCGTTACAGTTCAGCGCAGCCATTTCCAATTCAATGAATTAATTTATATATAAAGTAGAGTTAGTAGATTTCTTCGTAGTCGAATTTTTTTAAAACATGTGTTAAATATTATTGTAATATTTCTTGGTAAACAATGTTTCTTACATAAATTTCTTTTTCATTGCCTATCTTTTTTTTTATTCCTTTTTCGCTATGTGTAATACTTGAATTTTTATATAATAATACTTTAAGATTATATTTTGAAGTTACTCTTGATAAAGCAACATATAATTGTCACGGACTAAAAACATGTGAAGGAAGGTATATGCCTACTTTTTGGAAAGATTGGCCTTGAGATTTGTTGATTGTTAAAGCAAATCCAAGCCTTATTAGAAATTGCTTTCTTGACATTTGAAATGGTATTTCTTCGTTAGACGGTGACAATGTAATTCGTGGCAAAATTACAATCTCATTTTTATAATTTCCCGTTATTACTTGTGCATGAATAGAAAAACTACCCATTTTAATAACTTTTAGTCTTGTTCCATTACAAAGACCTCTTTCTAAATTAATATCCCTTAAAAGTATCACAATTGCACCAATCTTTAATATTAATTTGTGAGGAGGAAGTCCATTTGGAGTTAAACTATTTAATACTTCAATTGGTATTAAGTTAGTTATTGTGTCACACATTTCATCTTCTTCAGATGAATCTATACTTAAATATTCTCTAGGTTCACCTGTCATTCGTTTAACAATATCATTATTGAATTCAAATACATCATTATTCCGGAGAACTAGTAATATATGTAAAATCAAACAAGAATCTCTTTATAACGGTTTACTATAGATAATAAAAATAAAAACCGATATTTTAAAAAGTATTTCGATTTATTACGAATATTTTTCTCAAAAATTTGCAAAATCTACATTTGTTTGTGGGACAATTTACATCAATATAATATAATAAAATATAATTTAAGATAAAAAAAATATATTATAATATAATATAATTAATATTGTTGTCATAATTATAATAAAAAAAATCTAATATTTAACAATTGTCATTTCATCCTTCAATGAAACTGATCAAAATTAAGATAAATTTTATACAATATTAATTATATATTAATTTAAAACATAAATTATATATATAATATACATAAACTACAATAAGTAAACAACAATAAGTACAATTTTAACCGAGCGTGCGTTAGCGAGCGAGGAATACATCGCTAGTATTTAATTAATGTATAAAGTAAGTACAATCGAAAAATTAACTTTGACTATCTTTTCGCTTTGATTGGGTTTTCTACTCAACTTCATAAGGCATAGTCTTTTCGATTGGGTAGTTTTTAAAAAAAATTACTAATTTTACAATAACAAATTAACCGATTTTACTTGTATCTTTTGCAATTTAGAACAATTCTAGAAAGTAAGACAATAAAAATTTAAAGATTGTTTTGTTGTCCTGATTATAATTTAACTTTATATTTTTAGAACCGAATATATTTAGTAACATTTAATCAATGAAGTATATCAAATTGATAGACATCTCTTTACATAATAAATGATACATAAGGTAAAATGTATCAGTTGAACAGGCGAAATTGTTTTTAATAGTAATTTATAACTATTAAAATGCGATTTTTCCTTTTGCTTTCGCTGTTATTAGTAAAAAAAATAAGGACTGACGAAAACAAAATTATTATTGATTATTTTATATACAAAAAAGTAAGCAGTGTTGTAGGATTTCATTGCAACTGGGAAAAAAGTAAAAGTTTAATTTTTAAAATATTTTTATTTTTTTGTTTTTTAAACATTGTAGTCAATAAAACACAAATCAAAATTTTTCGAATTGTAATCTAGAAACTTAAAAAAGATATATAAACCAAAATCAAGTTTTTGAAAAATCTGTCGTTAATATACACAATTATTTAGTGCAAATTTTCATCGTATGAACATTTAAGGGGAGATTTCGGTGATTTTAAGGTTTTTTCAAAGATTTTTTTAATAGTAAAAAAAATATTTATTAGTTACAATCTTTGAATGATAAAATATACATTTTAAAGAGTCGAAAACAATTTTTGTTTCTGTTTTTGTTTAAAGAATCTAATAAAAAATAGCTGCCGAAAGTGGTACATTTTAAAAGTTTGTCACACTTTTTCTCTGGAACAGTTAATCTAAAATGAAAAAACCAAAATTATTCGTAATCTGTACTAGTATGGCAATCGTGTAAACTAGAATGAGAAATATTCATTGAAAAAACCCGATTGGCAGACTTTTATTATTTTTCGACAACAATTTTGCAACTTAAATTGTTTATAACTTTTAAAAATATTGATGGATTTTAAAAATCCTAGTTTTTCACGAAAACTACACATGCAAGGAAAATACTTTCTAAATTTGAAGTTAATTGGTTAAAAAGTTTTAAAATGAGAGTGTGACAAAGTTGAAAATATGCAGTTTTGTGAAAACGCGTTTAAAGTTTTTTAAGTAGAAATTAAGCAAAAAAGTGATGTTTTGGCTTCTAAAAGATTATTTTCAAGTAATCTATTGCCAATCAAGTTGCAGTGAGTGCCTCTGAGCCGTTTACTACTACCCGACCGGAATAAACGCGTGCGTTCGCGCACTCGGTGAATTGTTGCATGCTGCTACTCAATTTATATCAGCTCTAGACCATGGAAATACTTTAGACTAATTTTTCCGTGTTCTTAAATAGTTATACTAACCAAAAATGAAAAAAAATCACCGTAATCTCCCCTTAACTTCAGCTACTTGAAGAAATAGAATTGTGAAAAGTAGTCGCTATTAAATGAGTGTCAGGGTATGACATGCCCATTAGGGTGGTCCTTATTTTCAAAATAGCTGATCCAAAATGGCAAACATAATATTTATAAATTTATCAGATTTGCTTGAAAACTGTTACTCGGGGGCTGATTACGAATCTGCCATTACTTTTCAGACATTCAAAATGGCGGTCATAATTTCTAATTTATCAGATTTGACTAAATTTTGTTAATCGGGGTTTTCGGAGTCGCTGATTACTCAGTCTTTTCGAATTTTCAGGTCAGGTTAGCAATTAATAATTCCAAAAACCCCTGAGTACCAAAATTTAGACCAATCCGATGAAATTAAAAAAATTATTTTGGATCCGCCATTTTGAATTTTGGAAAAATAATGTCGGATTCGTAATCAGCGACCCCAAAAACCCCTGAGTAACAGTTTTCAAACAAATCAGATCGAGTTAAAAAAAGTCCGCCATATTGGATCCGACATTTTGAATTTCAGAAAACTTATTACAAATCTTAATGAGCGCCCTCACAGCATGGGATATCCAGTGGATATCCCATTTTCATCCCGCGATATCCCTGAGATATCCCATGGAATATCCTACGAGATGGAAATTTGGATACTCCAGGGATATCCAAATTTCCGTTCTGCGTGACATCCCACCGGTTGTAATTTAAAGCTATATTTAAATATTTGATAGAAAGAGAATTTTAAAAAAAAGTATTATGATTATAATTTTGCATTTCATAGTTTTGTCATTTCAATTTTAATAAATTTAAAAAGCTGAATTTATTTTGGATAGTCTATATGAGATATTCCGTCTCCGATACTGTGGGAAATCCCGTATAAGATATCCCTGGGATAAACAGCACGGGTTACTCACGGGATGGAAATTTGGATATCCCATCATTTCGTGGGATATCCTTTTGTTGTGTGGGCGACCTCTAAAACCCACAAGTAACAGTTTTCAAGCAAATCTGATAAATTTAAAAAAAGTATGTCCGACATTTTGAATTTCGCAAAACAAATGTCATATTCGTGATCAGTGACTCCAGAAACCCTTGTATACTAAGTTTCATGAAAATTCGTTGAATTGGTTTTACTGGGAATTTTTAGTCATTCATGCTGTATTTTCCTCAAACAGTGAAAGGGTTAAACAATAATAAACAATAAAAATTTTATAAAAAAATTTTTTTAATATCATTCATTGAACCTTTGAGAAGAGAAACAACCTACACAAGAAAAGGATATCCCTAGGATATCCAAATTTCCATTCCGTGGGTAACTCGTGCTGTATATCCTAGGGATATCTTATACGGGATTTCCCGCAGTATCTGAGACCGGATATCTCACATTGGATATTTCATATCACTGGTTGAGTGGAAAAAAAGGACACGTGAAATTTTCGTTGAAACAGAGGATACTTGTTGTTTTAGTTAAAGAAAAGTACACGTGAAATAAAATTTTTTTAACAAATTTTCAGTTGTAAGCACTGCGCAGATTGTATATTTTGATCTTTATAAAAGGTTCATAACTTCATCTTATTGATTTTCGCAACGTAATTTTTCTATAAAATATATGTTTCTTCTCATGTTTTGTTATTGAAATGAGTGCTTCATTCTTGCAAGATATATAATTCTGAATTTTCGTATTAAAATTTATAAACTTAAGGAATAAAATATGAAGCTTAAGTTTTTAAAAATTGTTTTTGTATTCAATTTTTCAACAATTGAAGTTATTATTTACTTCTGTCGCCTAGACTCTTTAAGCGGTTATCTAGATTTGCCACCAATAATAGCACCTACAATTACCATAAGAGTAAACAACGTCAAAATATTTACAAAATGATATTGATGAATATCATTTTTTACCAATTGAGAATGCTGAACGATTGCCTAGTAAGTTCTTAATTAATTTGTTAATCGCAATGTTAGGTAAAAAGTAGAATTACAATTTTATTCATTGCAAATTTATTTTTTATTGGTAGCTTTTGCAGATTTGAATACTGAATTCCTTGAAAGAATGCAATCTACCATGTCTGATACTCGGTCTGATACAGTTATAAATTTAGGACATATTGTAAATTCCACTGATTTAACTTTTTCCTCTGAAAACGAAAATAGTGAATATCAATTCAGTTCGCAGAATTCTAGTTCTTCATCTGATAATATTATAGGTTATTATTTATTTTTATAATATAAAAAAAGCAATCTTTAAAAAATTTTTTGTGAATACCTTAAAGTACATAAATACAGATATTACTCAAGGCCGTCATGACCATAACGATTTACAAGGAACTTCATCTGTTAATAATGAGACAGTCATATCATCTACCTCAAATACCAGAAAAAGAAATCCTAATGAATAAAAGTCAAATGCTGCAAAAAATCCTCTGAATTCTGGTATAGCTGGCACATCAAAAAAAAGGAAAGCCATTAAAAGAAAAAGTGTTAGGTCCACCATGTTTTTGTAAATCAGACTATAAAAATAAAATAACCGAGGAAGAACGTCAACCCTTATTTACAAATTTTTAGATAATTAAAGACCATACTCGTCAATGGGACTATATTACGAGAATGTTTAAAAGCAATAAACCTCAAAATAGAAGAGCCGTGCTCGCTGATTTTGAAAATCCGCGCAAAATGAATTCCAATACATATCTATTAAAAACACCTACGAAAGAAGTTAAAGTTTGTCGTACCATGTTTCTAAATACTTTCGGTATTAAGTAAAAAAAATTTCTAACTAATTAATTAATTATTACACTAAAAAAAACTACCAAAAAGTAGTTAAAATAACTAAGAATGTAGTTGAAACAATCAGATTTTGTAGTTGTTTTATTTATTTTTTTAATAATAATAAAATTAAAAAACGTAAATTATTTTGCAATAATATTTTATATACAAAGTACTGTAAAGCAGCAGTTGATCGCGAAATAACTATAATTCACAGGTATTTAAAATTCATTTCACCGACGATTTTTTTGTCGAAAAATGATATGAAGCTAAAAATTCGAATTTTTTAAGAACCTTCATTAAATGAAAATTAAATTTAAAAGTTTCTTATTTTTTAATTATAGTTAGTTGTTTATTTCATTTTTTTAATTACAGTAGAACCTCCGTATATCGAACCTCCATAAATAGGATTCCCGATTATATCGAATATTCTTTTCCGCCCCTTAGATCATTATAATGAAATTTTCGATGCCGATATATGGAATTCCCGTCTTTCTCGAATATTTTTTCTGGTCCCTTCAAATTCGATATACATACATGGGTTTTACTGTTTATTATATTTATTTATTTAAAAGAAATTCTTTAGATATCTTGTAATGGGACATACTCAGACGGCTGGTGATTCAATGCATGCAGCAATAGAAATAGCAACTAAAAGAAAATCAATTCATAATAGAGATCAGTGGTGTGGAATTATGAAAAATGCCAAAGCATAAGATCCAGCCTACCATGTCTATTAATTACAACAGAAAGAAATAATTGATTTTTCCAATATCTCAGACAAATCTTTTTGGACAAAAATCAAAATTTCTCAACTATGTGAGATTGAATTTCATTCAAAATTGAAAATTGTTCAGAAAGATATGAGCTTTCAAATGCATATCACAAAAACTTCAAAAAAGAATTTTATATCTTTATAAAAAATCAAAAAGTACCCTAAAAAGGGCATTTTTTCTATTTTCAAGGTCAAATTTCTCGAATACCTAGGGTGATGGATCAATTTTGAGTTTGGATTCGTCTTGAGCGTCAAACAACCTGTAGAATCACCTTCAACTTTGCCTTTTTTCGTATTTAACGAACAACGTGTAAAACCCTAGCATTTTGAAACAAGTGAGAAACAAATGAATGTATCTTTCAAATTTGAAATCTTTCTTTCTAAATTTCGTCAATGTTTCTTTTCGTTGATTATGATTATTATTTAATTTTGTAAAACAGATGTTAGAAAATAATAAAGAAATTAAAATTT